TGAAGAGCCAAGAGAAAGTCCTGAGCACTGCTGAGTGTGACACAAAAAACAAAAAGAATATTAAAAAATATTTAATGCAAATATGATTATCATTTAAAACATATCATTATAAGTTTAAAATTTCAATATAAGATATTTACAATTTTTAAATATAAGCATCTGGGGCTATAGTACAGTGGCAGGGCGTTTACCTTGAATATGATCAACAAGGGTGTGATCCTTGGTACCATATCTGGTACCCAAAGCCCCACCAAAAATGATTCTCAAGTACAGGGACAGGAGTAAGCCCTGAACTCTTCCAAGTGTGGCCCAAACACCAAATATATATATATATATATATATATATATATATATATATATATTGCAGAACAAATATGAACCAAATATATGTGTGTATGTATATACATATATATGTGTATGTATATATATAAATCAGAGTAATAGTACAATGGATAGGTTGCTTGCCTTGCACACAGCTGACCTAGGTTCAATCCCTGGCATCCCCTATGGTGCTGGAGCCCACTAGGAGTGATCCCTGGCACCACCAGCACTGCCCCAAAACTATATATATATACATATATAATATCTGTAGTATATAAATATATATAAATATATTCCATATTTCTATAATTTCCTGACATGTTTTATTACTTAAAAATAACTTTAAAATTATGTCTGGGGTTAGAGATATAGCTCAAATGGCTGAGCTCCTACTTTGATTTCAAGAGGCCTGAGTTTGATCCCAGTTCCACATTGTCTCCTGAGCACCACCAGTAGTAATACACAACCATAGAGCCAGGAGTGATCCTTGAGTACCACTGGGCCCAAAAAAAAAAAACAAAAACCAAAGCAATATTCAAAATTATTTTAAAAACAAAAAAATTTTCATTACTTGTTCAAGCTCTCTATCTATGGATGATAAGGTGTGACACGCACGAACTATTTTCAAATTATTACACCTTGGGGTGTAATAATGTTATTCTCTAATTCTTCTACTGTGACTATTAAAACTAGTATTACAGCTTGACCCTAGAAGGGAGGCTTCTAGTTTTTGCCTAAGTTTATTTTAGGAATCCGTTAATTAAAACTCATTCTTATGATAATTTCAACAAAACAATGTCTTTAAAGCCTACTATTCATTCTCAGTTGTACTAATAACCTTGTCAATTTAAAGTATATTCATCAGTCAGAACACAGAACACCATTTTCTGTCTAAAACATAAGAATCTCAGGAAGAGCTACTGAAGTTTTTTTTTAATAGTTCAATTGTAAGGAGTTTGCATTTTATGAAGAAAGTAGGAAAAAAATATTATGTAGAAATAACAAAGTCATAAATATAAACAAAAATGTAAGGTTAAAATAAGTTAAATGAACACTTAAAACAAAAAATCTGTGGCAGAATTGAAAAGAAATTTTAGAAAAGTGAAATGAGCAAAAATTGATCACGAAATAAACTTTCATTTTTATCTCTAGAACAGCTTTCCTCTTTATAGCTTAAATTTTGCTACACAATACTGTAGCTTCCTTATTCCTTCCTAACTACAAAAATTATATTTGAAAGCTCTTGCCAGAAAATATTTCGTAACTATTTATAAAGCTAAAAGAGCATAGCAAGTGTATTATTTCTAAAAGGTGTACATGTTTTCTTGAGTTGCAAGCAGTAAGTAATTATTTTCAAAGACAGTTTGTCTTTGTGAGGAAACTTGGGACACATTAGAAATCCACCCCAGAAAAACATTTCAATTACTGGTTTAAGATGTCAAGTATTTTTCTCAAGTCTCTTTCTCTGAGATTCTGTCTGAAGACAGCAAACCCCAAATTTAGGGAAGCCTTCTAGTTCAGAATATTTTTGTCAAACAATTTTGCCCAAAGATTAACAAACACATGAGGAATTTTCAATAAATACCATATTTTTGTCATGACGCCAAGGGAGTCTACTGAATCATTATGCTTAGAAAAAAATTTCTTTATCTGCCACAGTCCATATATTATGTTTTCAGTGCTGAGTGTGTGTGGTATACAAATACAAACAACAACAATAAGATACCTGAAACTATGTGTGTGTGTGTGGTGGGGGGGGGGGCGGTAAGGTAAGGTTCCAAACCACATAGAGCATGCCACCCCTTGTGTGCAGAAGAAATATAAATATGCTTCAAGACTGTAGACTAACTCAGAAGAACATGCACTAGCGCCTCTGAGTGAAACTCAGAGAAGTGGAGGGACCTCTCATTTCTTCATTCTTTTTTAGGAGCACCTGAATGTCTTTTGTCAAGTGCCAGCATTAGTTTTAAGAAAAGTAAAAACCTAAAAAAAAAAAGTAGACCTCAGAAATACATTTTTATGAAATCCAATTTTGTTAATAGTATTTAAGAATCTACTGAATATATGCTTCCCATATACAATTTAGGCAGAAAACACAATAAAATTAATTTGATGAAGAGTTTTAATGGACCATCAACTATTTTCATTTGTGTGCATGTATAATTGTACATATACATACTCTAACCTACCCCTATTTTTTAGAATCATCTATAAATACCAAATAAGGTTTCCAACATAAACCTATGTAATTTCTAGAGGCCCAAGCAATTAATAGAAATGTGGGAAATGTGGATTTTGTTTTCCAGAACTGCTCATGTCTAGTGAAGGAGTACTATTTTGGGATAAAGTACTCAAGCAGTCAGAAAGTAACTATCTTAAGAGAGCCTCCAAATATCATAACGTGATTTTTCATTTAAAGACAGGTATCTTCAGATGTTAATACAGCTGTCACAGGACCTAATACAGTTGAGAATCAAAATAATCAATGACTTGCATGGACTGCTATGCCAAGGTTCTGGCTGAAAAAATTACATGAAAAGTATGGTCTAAAAATAGAATAAATAATCTGAATATAAAATAAAACAAAAAAATATTAGTTCAATTTAGATAACTAATGAGCATGATTGTAATAGTGGGTTCCATTTCCCAAACACATTTGAACTTGAAAAATAAAATTCAGTGGTTCAGAAGTAGATATTATAGTGGTTCATCTAGAGATATAACAGTATTTCCACTTACCTTATTTCTGAGGAAAGTTTGAAATTAAAGACCTTTTTTAAAAATTTTAATCTAAGTAAACAATAAAATTTGAATTGAATCAAAACTTGTAAAGAAAACTGTTCTTTCAAAATTTATAGAATACATAGCTGTTGCTGCTTCTTTATCACTAACTTGAGGGGGAGGGGAAGGATTAAGCAGGCGATCCCAGTGCGGGTGAGGGGAAGACCTAGCCCCAAGACTTTCAGGGTATGGAAAGACCTGTAAAAGTAGTACCAAGTTAGAATTGTAGCAATACCCAATTTGCTAAATCAAGAAGTAAAGACTGCAACAATTTGTGTAAATTTCTATTACATCCTTTAAAATACTATAGAATTCCCTGGTTGACACTTTTTATCATTGATCAAAGTGGTTCCTTCTTGTAGCAGAAATAACAGATTCTTCGCAAAACACCAATGACATGGAGGTGGGGTGTGGGGGAACAGCAAAACTACAGTAAACCGGGAAACAACAACAACAACACGAAACAACATGACTGAAACAATAAGAACAAAGCTACACAGTGTTCAACCAAAGGACTAAAAACAAATTGGAAGAGTAAAAGGTAAACACTTCTTACCTTTCAAACAAATACTACTTGACTAAACGAAAATCATTCTTGCACATTCTTTTCTCCATTTATAAAACCAAAAAGTCTTGTTTAAGAAAGATTGAAGTAACTATTTTTGTTTTTCTTCCTCCTACGCAATTTCTAAGAAAACTTTAAAAAAGTATTTTCCCCCAATCATCAGGTATTTACAACAAAATTATTCTCAAGATTTGCTCAATAAGCTTTGCACATTTCCATTGTCTTATTTTCAAAACGCTCTGTATTTGGATGAGAGTTCACAGTGTTTCTAAGTCCTTCTGTGTGTGTGGCTAAATTTACAAATCAAGGGAACAGTGTTTTTAAAAGTTAATTTGTCTCCGGCTTTGTATTTTTCGGATATACTATTATTTTTCGTGTGATTTCTGTGTCCGTTTAATTTTTCTTTTCACAGTGTTACTTTTTCCACAAGAAGACCCATTTAGAACTGAAATATTTTCCTTTCCTCTCCCTCCTTTGTCTTCATTTTTGCTCTTGGTAGTGATGATAAAATGAATCTCAAGTTGGAGCGTGAGCGCAGAGGGGGCAAAAACAAAGAAGGAGAAAGCTGTAAAGAACTTTACAGGTGCAACTACACAAGAAACAGTTTAACAAATAAAAATGTATCTCATCTCCCCTAACCAACCCTCGTCCACAGAGGAAAAACAGAATACTTACAAGTTAGCATCTGTGCGTTTGTGAGTGCCGCTTTGTACGTGTGCCTTCTCTCTTCTTTGGATTGGGGTACTTCGAGCTAATTTGGAAGAGCCCGTTGGGTTGCCACAAAATGATGCTTGAGGGTGTAAAGATGCATAAATTAGGCGTCCTACAATGGGAGAGGACGGTCATTGTACCTCTATGCGTGCTCGTGGTGGCCGCCGTCCGCCACCCTCCCCCACCCCCCTTTATTTTAACACTTTATTAGATGGAGCGAGTGCGGGGCGGGAGTCGCAGAGCAGGGACCGAGTCCGAGCACACACCCCAACTCACGGCCACACCCTCCGCCCCCGTCCGCCCAGGCCGCGCCGCGGCGTCACCGCGGGGAGCCGCGGCCACGCGGGGTGGGCGCGCGGGCCTGCCCCGACGCCGGCCGCCCGCGCGCGAGGAGGACGGCAGCCCCGGGAGCCGCGCCTCCCCAGGAACACCCCGCAGTACCTTTCCTGCCTCCGTGACGGGGAGGGGGCGAGCGAAAGGATGTCAATGACCATTGTTTGCTCGTTGGGGCCGTCGCTCCGCCCCTCGAGGCTGGCGTAGACCCGGCGCCCGGCTAAAAGGCGCCCAGCTCCCGCGCCGGGGGTCGCGCGCCCGCCCGTCTCCGGCGCCGCGGCGGGCCGAGATGTCGCTGAGCCCCAAGCACACGACGCCCTTCTCCGTGTCCGACATTCTCAGCCCCATCGAGGAGAGTTACCGCAAGCTCGGCGGCATGGACGGCGCGGCGGGCCTGGGCGCGCCCCTGGGGGCCGCGTACCGCGCGCCGGGCCCCGGCCCGCAGGCGCACGCGCTCGGACCCGGCGCCGCCGCCTACCACCTGCCGGGGGTCGCGCAGTTCCCGCACGGCGCCGTGGGCGGCTACTGCGGCGGCCTGGGCGCGGGCGAGCTGCCCGCCTACCCGGACGGCGTGCGGGGCGGCGCGGGCGCGGCCAGCGGCTGGTACGGCGCCAGCCCGGACCCGCGCTACCCGTCAAGTGAGCGGCCGGGCGCTGGGGGCGCGGGCGGCGGGCGCGGTGGGCGCGGGGGGCACGGGGGCCGCGGGCGGCGGGTGCGGCGGGCGCGGGAGGCACGCGGGGCGCGGACGGCGGGCGCGGGGGCCGCGGACGGCTGGGAGCGGGGGTCCTGGCCCGGCGGGCGTCGCGCGGGTCGCGTCGCGGGGCGGCGGGTGCGGGGCGCGGCAGGGTCCCGGCCGCCCGCGCTCACCCCCGCCCCGCGCCCCCAGTCTCTAGGTTCGTGGGGCCGTCGGCGGGCGTGGGCGTGAGCGGCGTGGGCTCCCTGACGGGCATCGCGGACGCCGCCAAGTCGCTGGCCGCGGCGCCGCGCAGGAAGCGGCGGGTGCTCTTCTCGCAGGCGCAGGTCTACGAGCTGGAGCGGCGCTTCAAGCAGCAGCGGTACCTGTCGGCGCCCGAACGCGAGCACCTGGCCGGCCTCATCCACCTGACGCCCACGCAGGTCAAGATCTGGTTCCAGAACCACCGCTACAAGATGAAGCGGCAGGCCAAGGACAAGGCGGCGCCGCCGCCGCAGGAGGGCCTGGGCCCGTCGTCGCCGCGCCGCGTGGCCGTGCCCGTGCTGGTGAGGGACGGCAAGCAGTGTCCGAGCGGCCCGGCCACGCCGCCGCCCGCCGAGCCGCCCAGTCCGCACGGCCCGGGCGCTGGCCTGGCCGCGCTGGACGCCGCGCCCGGGGACTTCGGCGCGGGGCTGGGCGCCGGCCTGCTCTACGGCAGGACGTGGTGACCGCGACCCGGGACGCGGAGCCCGATCGGAGCTGACTTGGGGTGTGCGCGCCGAGACTGGAAAAGGGAAGATACTTGCTCATGGGCGGGTCGGACGGACTCCGACTCCTTCGCAGGGGCAGGGGTCAGCGACAGCCGAAACCTGGTGACCTGTCATCACACCGGCCGGCGGGCGAGGCGGTGCTGATCTCCTTTCAGGTCTTAAATTGAGAGGAACGCTGGCCGAGTCCACATCCACCGAGTTCTCAGAGTTCTAGAAGTTGGAAACTTGGTGGACGTTTGTAGTTCTGCAAAATCAACCCAGCTTTAACACATGAATTCTTTTTGAAGTAGGGTTTATGTCGGTAGATTAACCCCCTCCCCTAAAGTGCAATTTCATTAATGTTTGATTGCAAGTAACTTGAATTGTTGCTCAAGATGATCGTGCACACAGCGACGTTATTGCAAAGGAATTATCGCTACTTAGATCATAGAAAAACGGAATAAGAAGAACCAAACTGTTGCTTATAGGGACGGGTATGGCTTTTCAAATTTAATGCGTTTTAAATATTTTGACCATTTATTTGGTGGAGTGTTGTACAGTACCCCCCAAAGAGGATTTCCCCTCCCCTCGCTCAAGATGCAGTTTATCATAAGAGAGAAGGGTTGACATTACTTGTACTGAATCGCCCGAGATCAACCCATAAAATATTATATCCTATCCTTCTGTAGAAATGTTGCTTACTCTTCCCAAGGTATTTCACAGTCAAAATTTGGATACCTTGATAAAATACTAGAATAAGCAAAATTGATTAATCTGTTTCAGAACTTGTCAAGAAGGAAAAGAATAAAATGATTTATTGAACTGTAATTGGGGTGCAAAAAATAAGTAAAATATGTATGATTTTTCATTTTATTTAAAACTCAATAGGGATTGCACACCAATTTTGTTGGTATTTTATTGTACAAATAATGTATTTACTCTTTAATACGGCAATTTATATTTCCTATGTTTCAAATGGATATTTAAATATAACTTAAAAGAACCCTAAGGTCATGTCTTTTCACAAAGTTATATGGGTTTTGAGTTTGATTTTTTTTAAACACTAGTTGTTAGTTTACTCATGATTTCATTATCCTTGTGTCAGAATAAAAATGCAAAAATAAAGCTTAAGAAGTGAATTTATAAAATTAAGGAAAATAAAAACACAATAAGGTGAAAGCATTATTTATAAATGATCAAAACAAAGAGTAGAGATCTTAAAATATCTTCAACACATTAACTTTTGGGATTAATTTGAGGCTGACGCATTTTATTTCATGTCATTGTGTGTTTCGCTGAATGTGGAATGTGAATGTCTTTAAAGTTCAACTTATACTTCCCCTAAACTGTATTTTTATAATAAAAAGCAAAAATTCCAGGTCCCTTTAGGGAGAGAGGAAAAGCACCTAGAAAGCAAGGGGATATGGAAATAAATTTCTGATGTGCATAATAAATAATTGGAGCAGAAAATAACATGGAATGATGAAATACACCTATAGAAAATGCCCCCAATGGAGGATTTTTGCATATTAGTGATTGATTTTTAAAACGTTAAGCTAGCATAAATTCTAATGTGTCAAATTTCAAACTGCTTGCTTAGATTGATTTGATGAATTGATAGTAGTACCAGAATTTTGGTATTTTACTTCTAAGAAGTGTGTTCCAAAGTCCATGTGGTTTGCAACATTTTTTATTAACCCAGTATATAACAAAGGCAATAATAGTTTATGGATTCAGGACCCCAGGAACACATTCAAAGAAAATAAGCCTAAATGGTCAGTTTTTGCCTTGATAATTTGTTTCCAGAACAAAGAATGCCTTAGACCGATGAACTCTATCAGATCAAGGAAAACAGTCCTTAAACTCTGAAAGTATATTTAGTGTAGGGACGTCTTTATTCCTTTCAGTACTGCTTTAAATTGTAAAGGCTTCCAAACCTGAGTTAAAATGTACCGAGCTTATGTGCACATATCCTATAGGATAAGATTTGATTCATGAGACAAAAAGATTTTTAGTATAGAATTCCTCATCTGCTTAATTCAAAACAAGATTTTTTTTCTTCTTTTGCAATTAGTGCTTTGCAGATCTTTTATAAAAACACAAACGGCCAGACTAGGTGAAACTCATTAAGTGAAGAGGAGGATAAGTGTCTTCACCAAGAGGGGGACTGGCACAGCACAGTGTCTGAGTGGAACAAAGCCCCTTCAAAGTTTAGCAGAGGCCATAGCAAAACTCAAGCTTCAGAAGCACCAACCGCAGATGTGTTATTTTCCTCTGTTTGGGGTTTTAACAACAAGCTAATTTATCTTTTCCAATTGAAGCATAGAAACCAAACCGTAGAATCAAAGTAGCAAAGAGGAATAGCAGGGATTGCAGGTACTTCTTGGTATTCCGGTAAATTGAATTTGCCGATGTAAATTGAAGTGTGTGTGTGTGTGTGTGTGAGAGAGAGAGAGAGAGAGAGAGAGAGAGAGAGAGAGAGAGAGAGAGAGAGAGAGAGAGAGAGAGAGAGAGAGAGAGAGTGCACTGTTGACACATGAAGGATGTTTTGTATGTGGAAGGTTGGGGGTATAATAAAGTTGTCTTCTATTTAAGGCTTTGCTTAGAACTAAAATCTAATGTCGAACAAGTAGCCATTTATCAACACAGATGTTGTGTTCAAACTTCATTGTGATAGTGACTGTTTACTTTCAATTTACCTTCCAAAGACTTGCTTTGTTAACTGCATTGAATACTGAAGAGTTAGAAAGACTTTTAGAATAAATTTGTGAACCACAATCATATAGACCCATTGTTTGGATTTTTATATATGAATTTGTGCATAAGAAAAATCAAGTGTGTGAAATATGCATTTCAGATATAGTTCAAAGCATGAATGGTATTGCCCAACTCTTTAACACAAACAGGAAAAGTCCTATGTTAATTACTTCAGTCTAAAAGCTTTAAAAAGTAAAATTAAAAGCTACTATGCCGTGTCCTAATCGGTAAGATAGGGAACTAGGATACATTTTATTTTTTAAAAAAGGAAAGGAAAAAGCCTCTTATTGCTGGTAAGAATTGGTGCGCATCTGGAGAAAATTCAAAGAATCTTGCAGACTGGGAACTACATCTACTTCCTAGCAGTAATTTGCTTTACACAGTTTCATTTTGAGGTCACTTTGATTTTGTGATTTACGTTAGTAAGGAATAGACTTCAAGAAGTTTTTGGGTTTTATTTATTTTTTTGCTTTAGAATATTTACCTGCAATGGAATGAAATGTCTTTAAAAATATCTATGTAACCTCATTGTTTAGGTGAATTCAAAATAAAAGACATAAACTTTACTATATTGTTTAACTCTAACTATGAAGTTTTTTTTTTTTGCAGTGAATAGTTTTATTGCAATTTCACACGAAAATTAAAGCACATCGTCTTGGCTGGCATTCTTTAACTATGCCATCGAGAAAGAAGTCGCTCAAGTTTTTATTACTGATTAAAAAAAAATCATAGTTCAGAACAGCAGCTCAAAGTAGCTAGGCTGGATCTCAATTCCGCTCCCCTCTCTGGGAGCAGGAAGAAGAGAGGGATAAGAGCGAAGCAAGCTGGGGTCTTTCCCCTGACGCCTGACGTTTGGGATTGGGAAATCTCAGTTGACTTCGAATAACGTCCAAATTTTCTATACATAGCTAAATTCAGTTGTGTTCGGACAGAATTCATTGCCAGCAGCTTCCAAAGGAAGAGCGTTTTCACTGTTTCTGTTCTGGTTTGGGTTTGCATTCCTGCAAGGACCGCGGCAGAACCCTGGCTGGGCTGGACCTGCGCGGCAGAGACCCGCAGGGCTCGGGAGTGGAGGTCCTGAGCTCTCTGCACTCCCCGCTGGACGCCCGCCTGGTCGGGGGGAGGGGGGGGGTGGGCGCACAGCTTTGAGCGGGACAGACGACGGGCTGCGTGTGGCTAAGGTCCAGAGGGGCCCGAGCGTCCCCCTGCGCGGCTCCCGACCCCGCCGCGCCGGCCCTCCAGCCCGAGGGCGCCAACGCCGACGCCGACGCGCGCCGCGGAAATGCGCACCCGCCAGCCCCCAGCGTCCCGCATCATCAGGCGAAAATTAACCTATAGGTCATTACACCCCATTTGCCTTTGTAACGCTAAACGGCAATCTAAGGGTCTGTAGATGGCTTTGTACTTTAATGTGCATTACCCTATTTGATCTTAAAAGAGAAGACAACTGCTCGTTAAGGACCCTCAGTGCAACAATGACGCCAGGCGGTTACCAGGGTCTAAGATTTTAAGGAATCTTTACTATGAGACTCAGAAAAACTGCGCGACTTAAAGGAGCACTATAATGGGGCAAATTAAACTGGTCCGTTGACGTTATTTTTACAGCATAATGCGAGGGGATATTTCAAGCGTCAAATATTGCACTTAAAATTCTAAAGAGTCTTGCTGAAATAGGAAAGCTTTCCCTCACCCCAAGAGCTAAACCCACCAAGTAAGAGAAATGAAGAGTGAAAGCGGAAAGCTAGAGTGAAGGAATAAACTGAAAAGAACGCAAAATTTCTAACGCTCATACCAGGAGAGAAGTGAAATTTCAGCCAGAAATCCTTCAGGACCCAACCTCAATGATTTCAAATATTCATTTTCAAACAAATTTCAAATTGAAGTTGAACAGGTACAAGTAATTGTGAGGCGGTCAAATCAGTTATTTTAAGGACACACTCAAAGCATAAAACAGGTAAACACAAAGATCTGAGAAAATACTGTCAGTATAGGGTCCCTTTGGGGAACATACCTAATTTTAGGTGACCATTTTTAATACTTTAAGAATAAATTAGAAAAATTTAATACAAAGTGTTATTGCCATAATCGCACATGAATACAGTAACTGGGCCACTGATTTCTGGTGAGACCTGTCTGCTCACGCCATCAGGAAATGAGCCGCACAACTGTATTATTACCAATTTTTAAAAAAATCAGTTCCATGGGGCTGGAGCAATAGCACA